TCATGTTGTATAAGGTATCGATAACTTGCATATATAATAAATCAGATAACTTGCATATGAGGCAACTGTTCTATGTTAAAGGCAATTCAACATTTCAGATGCATTAAAAGAACGAAGGGAGACCAACAACACACCAAATCGAACAAATAATATAAAGATTAGACAACATAGCGTGGAAGTTTAGCATAGCAGCTATCTCATACATTTCATTAGCGAAAGTTTAGCATAACAGCTTAACAGAAGATGTATCATGTATTAGTTGATCTACTTATGGTATTCATTTTAGTGTTTTGTTCTATTACTTCTATGGATTGAGATTGTGTGTATGATAACTATATTAGATATTGAGTTTTTTCAGCCTTGACGATTCTAATAAAACTAAATCCATATATAAGATTCCTTTAAATAAACAACAGAAAAGATAACAAATTACTATACGGTCATTTACACTATATATTATATTCAAACAAATGAGGCCTAATACTAAGTTCCTACCTTCCTTTATTGTTAATTTCATACATGTTTATAACTATTGCTTGACGGCGTTGGTTAAGATAGACAAATCCATTTTATCTTTCTGTGATGAATTTTGACAGTATGATAACTGTAGTACTGTATTAGTTATGGTTCAACAAAGAAGAAGAATACAACGGTATAATATGAGAATACTACAAGTTCATCATCCAACAAAAGGGAAATGCATACTGCCAAGCAAACACATGAGTAAGACTCAGTAATATCGATATCTATACTACCTTAAAAGTGAGAAACCGTTTTACTGAAAGCTAAATTGCTAATTTAATTACCCTCCCCATTACACATATTTTATTGTTGCCTAAGCATCTTGCTTCCAGAATCGACTCAAACTTGTCTTCTTATGCCTTCTTGTTCCCTAAAACAAACCAAAAGAAGGGACGAACTGTCAACAACTCGATTCAAAATTTTGAAAATCTCCATATAGGAAAAATTGCACAATTACTTTGTGAAAGTTCCAATTCACAATCTAGTTCACATTTGAAAATGAGATACTATTTGGTGGACATAAAAACTTCTTTCCTTATCTTCTTTTCAAATTCGAGTACTACAGTTTTAGCATTCTTCCCATTCTGTGTGAAGCTAATGGTGAATCAACGGCATTATGAACTTCTAGATGAGACTTGAACAGATTCAATAGCAATACAGAAAATTTAGAATTGAAGCATTAAAAACACCTTGGCAATACAATACTTTTACAATGTCTTTAAATCATTGACACAATTTCAATCCATAGAAGTAAAGCAAAGCACTACACTAGCTGCAGAATACCACAAGCAAGTCATAAATACTCACTGTGTTAGGTAGTATTATATAGTGTTTCTAGGGTGAATGATTGTTATAGAAATGTTTTTTAAGCTACACGTAAGGTGTCAAGGAAAGAGAACTCTATAAGCTAGTATGTATATAAAGACACACATTTAACTTCAATCTCAACAAGATATATACTTACCTGATAACAAAACTGGGCATTTGAGGGTCAAAGTATTGATTGTTTTTCTTGAAATCAAAATTTTGCATTTCTTCAACTTGTATTTCCCGGATATCCTTGGCTAATTCAACAAGTGATTCTTTGCATGCCCTCACCTCAATTTATTTTAGAGTCATCATGTCTTCAAAGCAAGGAGGGATCTGCTCAATATGTCGCGATCTTCTTAACACCAAATGCTCAAGGCTTGGAAAAGCATCATCTGAAACATTCCACTCAAAAAAAGAAGTATCTTGCAGTTTCAAGGATTTGAGGCGGTGGAAATGCTCACTGGTCACTTTCCATACTTTGGAATTAATGGAAACATGTAGCAGTTTGAGTACCACAAGTTCGGGGAGGGTTGAGACCTCATCAACACTAGTTATGCAACCACTATATAGTGTTAATTTCTTGAGACTTGGTGGTAATTTCAGCTTGAAGGCCACAGGCTAAGATTTTTTAGGCTCACACATCCAGGATAAGACGGAGGATATAATAAATCTTAGTTACCAAGTTTTACCATTTCAATTTCAAACCTTGTTTTTCGTATTTTGGAGTATTTTTGGAGGATGAAGATATACAAGTTTCAAAGTTAACATGGTTGTGGCAGCAGAAGGTTTGGTAAAATCCCATAAAGAGAAGCTTTCCGAGGATATAGTGGAACATCACTTAAAAGACCTTATTGGAAGAAACCTTGTGATGTTTTCCAAGAAGAGTTGTGATGGTAAGACTAAGGCATGCCGCATTCTTGACTTGTTGCTTGATTTTTGTTAAAAGAAAGCCAAGCTCGAGAACTTTCTGCAATGCATAAAAGGGTAATACAATCTTATATTTTAATTCGTCGAATCAATTTTTATCTTTTAAATGTATACAAATTTCTCTATCAACAGGGACAATGATATGGATCCTACTTGTATTTCCTATCAGAAGCATAACATTCCACGATGATTATGTCTTCACTTTCAAGGTGATAATCTTGGAGAATGAAGTTCTATTTGTTCAAATGTACAATCTTTCCACTTGATGAAGGGAAGAAAAATTGGATTATCATCAATAGGCTATGCATCACACACTTTTAACAGTTTCAAGTTCCTGTGGGTGCTAGATTTGGAATTCACAGTAATTGATTCTTTCCCAACAGCGTTAACCAGCTTGAGATATGTTACTGTTAAGGTTGCTGAAGATTCTTCATTATCATTCTCGGACAATCTTTGGAACCTTGAATCTTTAATAGTTAAAGGACTTGGAGGACGAGTAACTTTACCAGACACCCTCTGGAGGATGGTCAAGTTGCGCCATTTACACATACAACCGCGCTATTTTCAATAGGAACAATGCACTCCGAGAAATGGATGGCTTGAGGACTCTTTCCTCTGCATGGCTTTCTTGTCTGGAAGATGCAGACAGGGTTTTCGCAGAGATGCCAAATCTTCAAAAATTGAGATGTGAAGTTTTTTCATGTGATTCCTATTCCCCTGCATTTAACAATCTTACTAAACTTGAAATGCTCAAGTTTACTTGGGGTCGTGGAGGTCCGGGGACCCTCAAGCTGAAGTTACCACCGAGTCTCAAGAAATTAACACTATCCAGAGGTTGCATATCTAGTCTTGATGAGATCTCAACCTTCCCCGAACTTGTGGTACTCAAACTGCTACATGTTTCCATTAATTCCAAAGTATGGAAAGTGACCAATGAGCATTTCCGTCTCCTAAAATTCTTGAAACTGCAAGATCTTTCTTTTCTTGAATGGAATGTTCAGATGATGCTTTCCAATGCCTTGAGCACTTGGTGTTAACAAAATTGCGACATATTGAGCAGATCCCTTCTCGCTTTGAAGACAGGATGACTCTAAAATCAATTGAGGTGAGGGAATGCAAAAAATCACTTGTTGAATCAGCCTAAGGATATCCGGGAAACACAAGTTGAAGAAATGCAAAATTTCTGATTTCAAGCTCTTTGTCCATAAGTAGAACAATCATACTTTGACCCTCAAATGCCAGCTCGATTCGTTATCATGTACGTATCCTGTTGAGCCAATTCAAGTTAAAAAAGTGTTGCTTTTTCCTTGACACCTTACGTGTAGCTTAAAAAACATTTCTGTAGCAATCTTTCACGCTTGGTCATGACATTAAAGTACTATATGATACCTAATACAATGAGTATTTATGAATTGCTTGTGGTATTCTGCTGCTAGTGTAGTTCTTTTCTTTACTTCTATGGATTGAATTTGCGTCAATGATTAAAAGACATTGTAAAAGTATTGTATGTTCTCGTTTCCTGTAGATCCCTACTAAGTTCTAAATTTTCTAAAGTGCTATTGAATCTGTGCAACTCTCATCTAGAAGTTCATAATGTCGTTGATTCACCATTAACTTCACAAAATGGGGAGAAAACTAAAACCATAGTACTCGATTTTGAAAAGATGATAATGACAGAAGTTTTATGTCCACCAAATAAACCTCAAATAGTATCTCATTTTCAAATGTGAATTGGATGGAGGCCAATAATTCGAACTTTCACAAAGTAATTGTTCAATGGAAGCTAGTTTGGATTTCCTATATTGAGATTTTCAAATTTTTGAATCGAGTTGTTGACAGTTTGTTCCTTCTTTTGGTTTGTTTTAGGGAACAAGGAGACATAAGAAGACAAGTTGGAGTCAATTCTGGAAGCAAGATGGTGCTTTTATTTGGAGATTGTTCGGCAACAATAAAATAAGTGTAATGGGGTGGGCAAATTAGCAATTTAACTTTCAGTAAAACGGCTTCTCACTTTTAAGGTAGTATAGATATCGATATTACTGAGTCTTACTCATGTGTTTGCTTGGCAGTATGCATTTCCGTTTTGTTGGATGATGAACTTGTAGTATTCTCATATTATACAGTTGTATTCTTCTTCTTTGTTGAACCATAACTAATACAGTACTACAGTTATCATACTGTTATAAAATGGATTTGCCCATCTTAACCAACGGTCAAGTAAATTGCAGCAAACATAATACTATAGTTATGAATATGTATGAAATGAATGGAAGATATTTAACGTCGAAAAAATGAAAATGAGATTTACACAGATGAAACAAAATCAGTTGCAGAATAACATAGGTGATATTAAGTGTGAAACTAAAAGCATCCAAGCATTTACTTTCTTACTAGCTTGTAGCTGATAAATAATTAAAAAACTCCAGCATAGAGAATTTACCTCTGTACTATACAATATTGTGCCTGTCTACTGACCCTTTGAACAGCCAAATAAACATTAAACAAAGGTGAGCTAAGAAAAGCCAACTTGTATTAAAGTATTGACAACTTGCACATATAATAAACCACATGAATTTCTCAAGTCATACAAAAATATTATTCAATTTGATTTGAGAGTATGAAAAGAATCATTACAGTTAGGAGCAATAGAAGAAGAAATATTTTTTATTTATTTATTTTTCATCCTGGGAGCCCGCGCTATTCACGGAGATCTCCCTACTACCAAGGACTTTTTTATACTCAAGACTCGAATCAAGACACGGGACAAATCATTAGAAATGAGTTGACTTGCTGATACTGTTAATCCCCTAATTACACACCATCCTACTCATTCAGTTTCTAGTTGATATCACAAACTTGTTAAAAGAAAAAAAACAAAGTGATGTCGAATTTGTGTAGAGGGAGATATTTTGACATTTCTCCTTTGGAAAAGATTGTCCATGAATGGGATTTAGGCAGCTCGATGGAGCATAAAATGGACTGCCTTAATATCGATTTTCAATTTCTAAATATGCTTCTCAGCTTGCAGAGCTTCACAAGAAGAGACTGTTTGGATACTACAGTAGAGAAAGTGGAAGCTCTTTGGGATGCAGCTGAATTTGAACGAATCAACTGTATCGACGATGTTAAACTCGTGTTGGATAAGATGGAAGAAGAGATATGGGAAACTAAAATTCATATCGAAGCTAAATACTCATTTCCCATAGCACTTATTTCCAAAATTGCTACTCTCGATCCCGAATTTGTGAAGAGATTCATTGATACAGTTATAATGAATATCACGGATTTACCAAAGATAAATCGTCTTTATACATGGTCTAGATTAAAACAAATACAAGAGGCTGTAAAGGAGTTGAAGTTATTGAGAAATTTTGTCTATTTTATTTCAGACAGATGCACGAATCCTCAAAGCCAATATACTTTCTTCAGTCACGTTTTAGTTGTGGCTGGTCATGTAGCAATGATTTCCTGGTTTAGTATCAACGCCGATATGAACTTTTTCTTTGATCCACTTAAATTGGATGCTTTATTTTCTGACCTTCAAATGAGGATTCAGCCCATTCAACCAGGTATCCACGAGATCTATATCGATGTCCTGCAAGCTCTAAAATCAGGATCTCATCCAAATATCGATGTCCATGCTGCTGATTATAAAGCTGGCTTTGTGGAGACTCTCGTACACCATATGGAAGTGCTACGTCCCATTATTCATAAGCACGAAAAGGGAGTTGCTTTCAAGGATCAAATTACAATGCTCAACTTCTTGAGAGACAATCTCATCAATCTACCAAGAGAGGCCGTTGAAGATTTTGATACTGGAATTATTAATGTAGGGCTTCTAGTTTACTCGGTGTTTAAAAGTGTGGCTCTTGGGAAGTCAAAACGATTAGTTCCAGTTCTTGATTTCTCAGGTGATATTCAGAGTATACAAGCACTAGTCTACTTCCTCACTCGGAATTCATTTTGCTCCAATTTACCTAAGATTGACGGACTGGGATCTATTGATATCATTTTAGACCAACTGGAGGAGTTTCTAAGCTGTTACTCAGAGTTAACTTCTTCTATAAGGAGCCAAATTCAGAAAATACAGCAGCAACTGGAGCATTTCCAGAAGCAGAATGATGGATTCGGATCTTTTGGGATGCAGGTGATTACTAAAGCATATGAGGTGGATCACGTGGTTGTTGGTTATATAAACAAAGACATTCCTGAGTGGTGTCTTTTTCTGTGGACTCGGGACATCATAGAGGAGATTACACAACTAATCGAGGCAGGGGAGATTCATGGAAAGGAAGTCTCTGACTCGGTATTGCATAATACCACTGATGTTGCCAATGCTGATACTTCACAACTTGCTCAGATGACAAGCATGAGCGAAGAGATGGTGGGCTTTCAGGACGTGATGTACACGCTAAGAGGGAAGCTAATCAGAGGATCATCAAAGTTGGATGTCATCTCAATCGTGGGCATGCCCGGTTTGGGTAAGACAACTATAGCTAACAAACTATTTTTTGATCAGTTAGTCGTTTCACATTTTGATGTCCGTGCACAATGTTGTGTATCTCAAGTTTATACACGCAAGGATTTGTTACTAACCATTCTTCATAGTGTTAAGAAGGATACAGTTGTAAGTGACAAACTACCAGAGGATGTATTAGCAGATAAGTTGCGCAAACTTCTAATGGTTCAGAGGTACCTTATCCTCATTGATGATGTCTGGGAAACTGTTGCATGGGATGATCTGAAACCTAGCTTCTATGATGCCAACAATGGAAGTAGAATCATCCTGACAACTCGGCTTGGTGATGTTGCCAACGATGCTAAATTCTTCAGTGATCCTCATTTTCTTCGATTGTTTACTCAAGAAGAAAGTTGGATGTTATTGAAGACTAAGGTGTTCAATACAAAAAGTTGCCCCCTTGTCTTAGAAGATGTTGGCCAAAGGATAGCAAAAAGGTGCGGAGGGCTACCTCTTTCAGTTGTCCTGGTAGCAGGTATTCTCGAAACAACGGAGAAGGAAACAAATTGTTGGGAACAAGTTGCAATAAATTTAGGCTCACACATCCAGGCGAAGTCGGAGGATATAATAAATCTCAGTTACCAAGCTTTACCATTTCATTTGAAACCTTGTTTTTTGTATTTTGGAGTATTTTTGGAGGATGAGGAGATACGAGTTTCAAAGTTAACATGGTTGTGGATAGCTGAAGGTTTGGTAAGATCTCATAAAGAGAAGCCTTCCGAGGATATAGCAGAAGATCACTTAAAAAACCTTATTGGAAGAAACCTTGTAATGGTTTCCAAGATGAGTTCTGATGGTAAGAGTAAGTCATGTCGCATTCATGACTTGTTGCTTGATTTTTGTAAAAAGAAAGCCAAGGTGGAGAACTTTCTACAATGCATTAAAGGGTAATACAATCTAATTGTTGAATCAATTAAGGGTAATACAATCTAATTGTTGAATCAATTCTATCTTATAAACGTACTCTGATCATACAAATTTCTCTATCAACAGGGACAATGATATGAATCCTTCTTCTGTTTCCTGTCAAAAGCATAACATTTCACGACGTTTATGTCTTGACGTTCAAGCGGATAATCTTGCAGAATGGAGTTCGATTTGTTCAGATGTACAATCTTTCCACTTGATGAAGGGAAGACAAATTGGATCATCTTCAGTAAGCTATGCATCACACATTTTTAACAGTTTCAAGTTTTTGTGGGTGCTAGATTTAGAATTCACTGTAATTGATTCTTTTCCAAAAGAGCTAACCTGCTTGAGATATGTTGCTGTTAAAGTTGCTGAAGATTCTTCATTATCATTCTCGGACAATCTTTGGAACCTTGAAACTTTAATAGTTAAAGGACTTGGAGGGCGAGTCACTTTACCAGACACCCTCTGGAAGATGGTCAAGTTGCGTCATTTACACATATACAACCGCGCTGTTTTCAATATAAACAATGAACTCCAAGAAATGGATGGCTTGACAACTCTTTCCTCACCTTGGTTTTCTTGTGCGGAGGACGCAGACAGGGTCTTCGCAGAGATGCCTAATCTTCAAAAACTAAGATGTGAAGTTTTGTCATGTAATTCCTCTTCCCCGTCATTTAACAATCTTACTAAGCTTGAAATGCTCAAGTTTTCTTGGGGTCGTCGTGCACTGGCCCCCACACTGAAATTACCACCAAGTCTCAAGACATTAACACTATCCAGTGGTTGCATATCTAGTCTTGATGAAGTCGCAACTCTCCCCAGACTTGTGGTACTCAAACTGCTAAACATTTCCCTTACTTTCGATGTATGGGAAGTGACCGATGAGCAGTTCCCTCACCTCAAATTCTTGAAACTGCAAGATCTTTCTTTTTTAGAGTGGAATGTTTCAGATGATGCTTTTCCATGCCTTGAGCGCTTGGTGTTAACAAAATTGCGACATATTGAGCAGATCCCTTCTCGCTTTGAAGACATGATGACTCTAAAATCAATTGAGGTGAGGGAATGCAAAGAATCACTTGTTGAATCAGCCAAGAATATTCGGGAAACACAAGTTGAAGAAAGGCAAAATTCTGATTTCAAGCTCTTTGTCCATAAGTAGAACAATCATACTTTGACCCTCAAATGCCAGCTTGATTTCGTTATCAGGTAAGTATATACATACTAGCTTATAGAATTCTTTTTTCGTTGACACCTTACGTGTAGCTTAAAAACATTTTCTATAACAATCCTTCACCCTTGGTCGTGACATAGAAATACTATATAATACTACCTAATACAGTGAGTATTTATGAATTGCTTGTGGTATTCTGCTGCTAGTGTAGTGCTTTGCTTTACTTCCATGGATTGAAATTGTGTCAATGATTTAAAGACATTGTAAAAGTATTGTAATGGCAAGGTGTTTTTAATGCTTTAATTTTAAATTTTCTGTACTGCTATTGAATCTGTTTTGAAAAGAAGATGAGGAAAGAAGTTTTTATGACCACCAAATAGTATCTCATTTTCAAATGTGAACTAGATTGTGAATTGGATGGAGGCCAATAATTCGAGCTTTCACAAAGTAATTGTGCAACGGAAGCTAGTTTGGATTTCCTATATTGAGATTTTCAAAATTTTGAATCGAGTTGTTGACAGTTTGTCCCTTCTTTTGGTTTGTTTTAGGGAACAAGGAGGCATAAGAAGACAAGTTTGAGTCAATTCTGGAAGCAAGATGGTGCTGTTAATATATTGCAGATTGTTAGGCAACAATAAAATAAGTGCAATGGAGAGGGTAAATTAGCAATTTAACTTTCAGCAAAACGGTTTTTCACTTTTAAGGTAATATAGATATAGATATTACTGAGTCTTACTCATGTGTTTGGTTGGCAGTATGCATTTCCGTTTTGTTGGATGATGAACTTGTAGTATTCTCATATTATACAGTTGTATTCTTCTTCTTTGTTGAACCATAACTGATACAGTACTAGAGTTATCATACTGCTAAAATTCATCACATGAAAGATAAAATGGATTTGTCTATCTTAACCAACGCCGTCAAGCAATAGTTATAAACATGTATGAAATAAACAATAAAGGAAGGTAGAAACTTAGTCTTTGTCTTGCTATTAATTCGATTTGCATTGACAACTACTGCATCTCCACGTCTAGTGCCACTGTGTCCAAAATCACCAAAGTTTCCAGATTTTCCACCTCGACCACGTCCATTATTCATTCCTCCTCCTCGTTCTGTAACCCTCTCAGATACATCCCTCACCTCTCGGATACATTTCTTCCATTAAGTAATGTATCATTCGCATTCCGAGATCCTATAATTTTAATGAATTTTTGTGATTTGGGAAATAATAGAGATGTGATGTAATTGACTGGACAGTATGTAATCTTTACAAGAATCAATCTATCAGTCCAAATTATATTTGTTGATGGGCCAGCCCCTTTTGTTTTGTGATACATTTTAGTTTTGTTTTGAATATAATTAAAGTTCAAAAATGAACGAGTTGAGAACTCTTGCCTCAGTATGGTTTTCTTGTGAGGAGGACGCGATTAACATCTTGGCAAGGCACCAAATCTTCAAAAACTGAGATGTGAAGTTTCAAAATGTGATAGTTTCTTTCCTGCATTTAACAATCTTACTAAGCTTGAAATGCTCAAGCGTTACGGGGATCCTTTCTGTACCTTTGCTGAGATGAACTTTACGCCATGTCTCAAGAAATTAACACTATTCAACTGTCGTATATATAGTCTTGAGTAAGTCACAATCCTCACCGAGCTTGTGGTACTCAAAGTCACAATCCTTCTCCCTTTGCAGACATGCTGACTCTAAAATCTATCAAGGTGATATCATGCAAAGAAACACTTGTTGAATCAGCCAAGGATATCTGGAAAACACAAGTTGAAGATGTGCAAAATTGTGATTTCAAACTCGATATTGCTATTGAATCTGTCCAAGTTTCAACTAGATGTTAATAATTCCATTGATTCTCCATCAACTTCAAGGAATAGGGAGAATACTAAATAATAGTACTCGATTTTGAAAACAAGGCCAATAAATATGTAGACTACCAAATAAATCTCAAATGCTAGCTCTTTTCTGAAACTTTTTATGAATGAGATGGAGGCCAAGTATTCGAGCTTTCACAAAGCAATTGTGCAATGGAGTCGTTGACAGTTCTCTTTCTTTGGTTTGTTTTAGGGAACAAAGAAGCAGTAGAAGAAGACTTTGAGTCAATTCTCTATTATGTTACTGTTTTCAATCATTTTCGTGTTTTGGTTCTCCAAAACACATTCTGTCTCTTCATGATAATATAGCTTAATGAGATTTCGGAATTTTTATGATTATTGACAAAGAACAAAAGGAGGAGTTGAAGACATTGTAGGACAGTTAAACTATGGTGAAAATCCTACATTCTACTGTACTATTCAACAGTATGTGTGTGTATGTGTGTCTACTAATACGTGTAAAAATTAACATCGAACAAAGAATTGAACGTTGGAAGTCAACAAATCAAGGGCGAAAAATGAATAAACCTTGAGGTTCAGCTTGATCCTACCAAGGTTTTAGATCAGCAACTGGACCAGCAGTCCAGTTTAAGACGTTGTTGTCTCCGTATATAGTCTTGTGATGATTGGGTAATTTACGAGCAAGTCCATTCAAGATTTGGTGGAAAGCATCACCTGGTTGAGCAGGTTGTAGAAATAACATAGCCTGCTTCATTGAAGGATTGGCGAGCAATCTCTGCTTCCTCAGTATTTCTTGTGGTGGAACAGAAGTAAGAATGTTATCCAAATATGGGACATCCTTCTCCGCTACGAACAATCCTATATCTTCCCATGGGATCGCGTCAGCAAATGGCAAGACAATGTCATCTGCTATTATAACGGGGATGCATCCGAATACAACAGCTTCAACCAATCTAGGACTCCATGGAGCCCATCCGAGAGGGCACAAGCAAAAGATAGCTCGTTGCATGTCTTCGTAGTATGTAGTTGGATGATCTGTAGAAATATCAAAGAGTGGATTGTCCTTAAAGTTCTCCCACACTGCTGCTCGAGCGCCTCTTGCATAGTACCCGCCTTTAGGATCATTTCTTTTGTCATAAAACAAGCCACGGAAATAGACAAATATGGATCTTGGTGTATCAGGAGAGATCAAATGAGACTGAATTTTCTGTGGAGGAGCATACGGAGGAATAGTTATCGATCCTTCCTTCAAACAAACATGATTCCGTTGTCCAAAAGTTTGAACCAAGGTAGCACGATGGAGCAACGGAAGAATACCTCTTCCAATAGCTTTCTCTTCTTGAAAATGGAAACATGCACCAAAATCATGTGGTACAATGAAGAAATGATCACCCCCTTGTGTCCTGTTCCAGTATGGCCAGCTAGAAGCAATAAGCTGAATCGCGCTTCTCATCATACGTGGTGAGTTGAAAGGTAAAGGATGACCATGTGGTGTCAAGTACTCACAAGTTGTGTAAACTGGAGTGTAAAACCAATCTGCTTCCTCTGGATCAAGTGTTCGAACAGGACTGGATAACAGAAACTGATGCATATATATCTCAGCAGCAAACATATGACTGAGGCATCGCGAGTCCCTCTGCACAGTTTTCTTGTTATATTTGCTTGGAAGCTCATATACAAAAACTTTCAACCTACCTGTAGGATCATCCTCCAACACATCACCAGCACTTCCGGAGATCCTTTCAACGTGTTGATCAATCCTATGAAACTTGAAGGATTCAACTCTCAATACGAAAGCAAGACAGAGAAACACAATAAAGTTCCAATTTCTCATCTTCCCCTATAGGCTATAGCAGAAGCAAATCGAAAAAGATGTGTGTTTTATTGATGAACTACAACTATTGAGGAGTCAATATATAGTTGCAAATGTGAAAAGATAAGTTTGGAGGAATCAATCAGTTGGAGTGTCAGTAGACAAAGTTAGTAGGAATCAACAGTTGAAGTGTCACTAGAGAGGGTAGTTAATATTTATTTAATTAGGGCCTACAAATAAAGAACAGATGAAAAACAAAGATTACAACTCAGGTCAACACTTGTAATGCTTGACAATAAACATTGTAACAAGTTTAGGTGATAATTTATGTATTTTTTTTCGGGACAAGTTTAGGTGGCAACTTATGCATTTTTCCCTTAATTTTTTGGTTTGTATCATTTCATTCATTTTGCGTTTCAAGATTCTCCCTTGTAGTGTGAGAAATTGGATTACAAGTAAAAAAAATGGATAACAAACCCGTTTGTCTACCCTTCTTCACTTACTTATGACATGTGTCTAATCCACACATCACATGTTATGCTCTTACCACTTGATCTGGGGGTCAACCTTATGTAGTATTACTATCTAAAAATTTGGTGATTAATCAAAAATACTTACAACAGGTTGGGTGTGCTAATTACAAATACCAAACATCATTAGAAAATAAATAATCATTGCTCTGAAAATATATGAATTTATGTGTATCTCCTCCAGGTAATATTTAAAGGATATGTTTACAGCATATTAAATTTTTAAAGTTACTACTACCGTACATGTTTCAAAGAATAATCAACACTGGTAGCTTAATTGTTCTTTAACATGACAAATACTATGCATTAGAAAAAATACAAGAAAAAGAAAAAGGCTTTAATCAAAGAAATAAGCAAAAGAATAAAACATCTCATTCTTGAAGTTACTTCACATTACACATGTGAGGAGCTGAAACATATAAAGCTCCATCTGAAATAAATCAATTTGAATAAAACTAGGCTCAAATCAATCAATTCAAAAAAGATTTTGGTATGAGCAGAACTTAAATTTCGAAATACATTTCCACTCAGCAAACGATATGCTAGACACCGATACATCAACTGGACATTATGTTTACATCAGTGGAAATTCTACACTCCAGAGCGCCCAAGTTTGTGTTGAGTCCTTTCCTCGTAATATCAGTCAGAATCAAATAGCCATCACAGAAGGTGAGCGAGGAAACGCCAACTTGTACACAGGTACTAGCAGATTTTGCTGTTTAAGAGCGAGCTTTAAATAGAAAATGACGAGGGGAGCAGAATTTGTGGTCAGAGACCAAATATTATAAGGGGTTGATAAGTACAGTATCTCGTAAACAAGATGACTTACATAAGGAAAGACTATAATCTGAGTTGTGTATTAGCAGTCATTTTTTGTTTGAAGCTCCTGAAGAAGGTGACGTGAGATCACAGTTCCCTATTTCATGTATAAATATCTGAGGTGGCACTTCTCTGTTAAAGGCAGTTGAACAAATTAAAGGGGTTATTAAAAGGGAGGATGACGAAGAACATACCCAATTTTCACATGATAATAAGAAGATGAAAGAAACAAGTTTGCCTTACTTTTCGTTAGCTTCTTGGTATGAATAACTGGATGCGACTGCTAAAAGTAATCCATCATGGCTATATGATAGAGAGACGACACTGTTGGGGTATCTTGACATCTAAAGAGGGAAACATCGTACAAATTGACTGAGATCCATAAATTGGTTGAAACAAGCAAATAGCTTTACAGCAAATCTCAAATGGAAAATAAACAGAAGCAATAGTTTAAAGAGGAATGTGCGATAAAAGTGGATTTTATAGACATTAACTGGCAAGTTTTACTTTGGCATGTTACTCATATAAATGAAGAGATTTGTTTATTCAGAAGCACAAGATTTCTTTCAAAACCATGACGCCAACCAAGTGATATCAAAACTGCAATCACTAGTTCATAACTGTATTTTATCACTTTTGGGAGAACTTATGCAATATCTTGCTTGACAAACGAACAAGAGTACCTCAAATATCCGTTTCTTTCCTCGAGCATCCCACAAGGTGGCATAGCCATCATTGTCACCAGTAACAAATGAACCAATAATGCTGGGAAAAGAAAAGTTACTATGAATATAACTTCTATTATAACAATAACAGAAGGCTGAAACTGGAAAATCACATACGATGGGTTAAATGCAATGTCATTAACTGTTACAACATGACGCCTTCCATCTTTAACCTTTGGGTGACATCTAAATGCGTACCTACAAAAGTAGAAACATAATTAGTTAACACATCCAAGAAGGATTTTTTTAGGATAAGAAATCCATAGTAACCATATACTGAGAAATTTCAGTTGCTGAACGATTTAATTTTTCTACAGAATGTCTGAATCTGTCGCTTAAAAGAGAAGTTATAGATTCACCAACATGCAATGCTAACCATAAACCAAAATGGAGAAGAGTGTAAAAAAATTATGAAATATGAAGTTTTATACCAAAAGATACATGGCACAGAGAAGACAATTCCTACTGTTTTTACTAGATTTTACAATTTGCAATGAAAAATTGTCAATCTTTCTTTTTGTTTAATCAGAGATTTGATTTTCCTCAGGTGCTTCTTTTGATCTAAATTAAAGTTAAGAAGCCAAAGTCATCTTCTGTTGGCCTACTGTTTACTGATATAAAGATTTAACAAGAGGCCCTTTCAAACTTTTCCATTTCTTCTAAGTTCTTTAGCAATAATGATTTATTCTATTCAAGTAACAGCATAAAACTTCTACTTACATCTCTTACATAGTGAATTGATCAATCTGGATGGAATCACCATACAGTAGTCTGATATACAACAAACTTTCATATTTTCAAACAAAAAAAAGGGTACTATAAACTTTTACTGACCCCTCATGTGAGCTGGATTTGGAGATGTACTCCAGAATAACTCGCCCATCAATTGATCCAACAACAAATCCTGCACAAAGAGGTTGTCCAGAAGGAAATTGAAACTAGGTATGATAAAATATAAACAGGAGATAAAAACTGATAAAGAACTATTTTTGCCTGTTGTCTAGACAATATAAGATGGATAATGGAGAAGACAAAAAACCAACATAATTGTACCCCTCTGCAGTCTTTTCTTTTTATGGTGCGCTTCTGTGGTCATGTTATCAAAGGCAAAAAGCAGAAGAAAGAAAAAGAGAAGCGGACATCCATTGGGGCTTTAAGCTCAAAGTGCTAATAAAGAATAGGCTCAAATGGAAAAAGGCACCATTGGAGGGATAGATAGACATAAATATTAAATCAAAGCGCCACTTAAGTTGGGCGAAGAGAAGAACCTATTTTTTACCTACTTTCAAGGCTTAATCTCACCTCAAGTTAGTCATTAACTATATCATTTGTAGTGAAGTACTTCTTTAATAAGGGAAAAAGTTCTACTAAAGGTACCAAGAAGGTACTAAAAGATTACAAAAACAACATAAAGCTTCAGAGAGAAATACAGATACTAGACTTTCCTTCCTAACAAATCCAGAAAATCCATTAATTGGATCAAACTGCCTATTGAACTACTTCCACACCAGAAGAACAAATTCTGCAAAAAGCTAGCTTCAACTCTAGAAATCTGAAATTTATGCCCTTTAAAATAGGCCTTGTTCCTTTCCAGCCATATTGTCCAGAAAATGCACAATGGCATAGTACACTATATCTTCTTGCTCTCCTTGTGAGTAACCTGTTATTGCCAACTTTGTAAACCTCTCATATTCTGAGACATCACTACCACAGACACTTAGAAATAACTCCCAGCATTATTGGCAACTCTGCAGTGGATAAACAGGTGCTCAACAGTTTCTTGATCTTCTTGACACAAGTAGCATCTATTACATAATACAAACCTCTTTTGCAGATAACTCAGTATTAAACATGCCCCCATGTTTCAACCCACCCAAAGTATGCTTACTTTAACAGGAGCCTAAGTCTTCCATAACATCTTTCATTGCTAAGAAGTCTCCCATTGACCTGATTGCTTTCTTAACAGGTTGTAGCAATTTCTAACAGAGATTTGTTTGTCCTTGTTTGCTAGACAGATTAGGGAATCCACTTTACAATGAAGTACTTACATGCATAATAAAGATCTTTCAATAGAACTATTCTTCAACTTTCGAGAAGACACTTAACCCTTTTGTTCTTTCGTTCTTTTTAGTTCAGTGGGGGTGAAGGGGTGTGAGGGGACCTTGGAAACACAACATAATTGATATTAGAATTTGGGTAAGAGTACCTTTAGGATTAAAAATTGGCCGTATACATTTTACTTTCACGCCTTTCGTGTGAACTGATGTCTTAAAACTTCGTATGTCATATAAATTAACTGAGGACCCAGCAGCAACCATCAAATTTAATCCAGATAGTGACATTGACTCCACCTCTGAAACAAAGCTTCTCAAGCATCCATGAGATTGTGTTGAACGAGCATCCCAAAAATTTATCTTTTTATCCCAACCAGCAGTAATTATTTGACCTACAAATAAAAAATAATATATTTAAGGAGAGAAACTTGAGTCGATATCTGTACCCTTTAGAGCACTAAACATGTGAGCAAATCAGTGAATTTTTGGTCCTCCCATTTTGGCATTATGTTGAACATATATCCAAATAAATCAAGTTGTCCAACTTAGAAACTAATTAAAAGATCCTCTACTTTAGGAATACATATTAATAGAATTCTTGTGCTTAGTACAGCCATTAGCTTATGGAAAACCCATTAGCTTTGAAATTTACAAAAATCTATTGCTCTGAAATAATACGAGTTATGTCTTTTTCTGAAGCAATATTTAATGAATAAGTTAAGAAGTTGTCTTATTGAATTTCCAGAGTTCTCAATATATTACATGTTTCAGCAGAATACTCAACACAGGTTGCTGAATCATCATGATTTCCCAATGAGACTTTAATACCTGAATCCAAATCATACCTAGAAAGAACAACAATCCAAAAAGAAAGACATTGAGGTTGCGATAATAAGAAATTCAATGCATTCCCCAGACATTGTACAGGAAACATGAGAAAACTACTTCTAGCTCTAAGCTCAGTGTATAAAGCT